TGTAATGCCTTTTATGAACTAGGTTCAGAAATCACATACCATAACTTCCACCAACTGTTGGACACACAAGGCCAGCCCTGATTCAGCATGGGATGCAACTCAACAAGGGCATGAATGCTAGCAGGCAAGGCTCATTGAGGGCAACTGTGAAAATGACTACCATATAAATGATCCTTTTTTCTTTTCCACAATCTACTATGAAAATTTTATTGTATTTTAAGTGGATTCACTCTAAGAGGCCTTGATTTGGTATCAGTTATCCTGAGATAATAGGAGCCCTGGTGGCACAATGGTTAAGCACTCCGTTGTTAATCGAAAGGCCAGTGATTTGAAACCAACAGTGGCTCCGTGGGAGAAAGACCTGGTGATCTGCTCCAGTAAAGATTACAGCCTTGGAAACCCTATGGGGCAGTTCTACTCTATCAGACAGGGTCGCAATGAGTCGGAATTGACTTGACGGCACCCAACAACACAAACAACAACATCCTGAGATAAGTAGTTCCTCCCAAACCACTCTTTGTTTTAAATTTATTTTATTTATTTTGTTGTTGTTGAGAATATACACAGCAAAACATACATGAAATCAACAATTTCTACAACTACAGTTCAGTGACACTGATTACATTCCTCGAATTATGCGACCACTCTTACCCTTCTTTTCTGAGCTGTTCCTCCCCCATTAACATAAGCTCACTGCCCCCTAAGGTTCCCATCTAATCTTTTGAGAAAAACTGGTAAAACTTTAATGCCCGTCAACAGATTAAATAAATTATGCCACAGTCATAAAATTACATATAGTGTAGTCATCCAAGAGAACGAAGTTGATCTAAGCACACAGATGGTGGAAAGAGGTCCAATATATTCTGTTAAGTGGAGGAAGGAGAAACTTGTTGTAGTACAGTATATATTATGTACAGAGAAAACTTCTGGAAGGAAACAGAAGAAATTGTTAATAGTGAGACCAGAGGATTTGGGGAAATGAAGGACTTTTTACTTTATTTCTATACTGCTTGAAAGATGTCACTTTGAGAAGGTGTGCCTGACACAAGCCACGATATTTTCAATCGTCTCATACGCATGTGAAAGCTGGATAATGAATAAGGAAGACCAAAGAAGAATTGATGCCTTTGAATTACTGTGTTGGCGAAGAACATTGAATATACCATGGACTGCCAGAACAACAAACGAATCTGTCTTGGAAGAAGTACAGCCAGAGTGCTCCTTGGAAGCGAGGATGGTGAGACTTTCTCTCACGTACTTTGGACATGATAGCAGAATGGAACAGTCTCTGAAGAAGGACATCATGCTTGGTAAGGCGGAGGGTCAGTGAAAAGGAGGAAGACCCTCAATGAGATGGATTGACACAGTAGCTGCAACAATGGGCTCAAACACAGCAATGACTGTGAGGATGGTGCGGGACTGGGCAGTGTTACGTTCTGTTGTACGAAGGGCTGCTATGCGCTGGAACTGACTAACAACAAACGTACTGCTTGAATTTTTTTTAAGATCATGTATATGCTCATAATTAAAAAAAAAAAAGACTAGGTATTAAAAAGTACTTGTATTTGTTCCCTAATTATAAAGGGAGAAAGGCTCTAAAAGAGAGTAAGAAGAAAAAGAGGTATAGGGCCATTAGCCCAAGAGAAGACTTCACCACAGATGGGCCTCCCTCATCCATCTCCCCTTGGATATAACAACCCCAGGGGCAGAAATCAGAAAGACTGTAGCCACTGCAGATCCTCTGCTCCCTCGGGACATGGGGCCCCATCAACTGTAGGAAGTTAGGGCTTGCATTTTCTACCACCAACTAACTATATCCAGTGTCTGGGCAACAGCACAAATAAACCATAACAGCAAATCATTCACTTGGCTTTAAGTCATATGCATTTTATAATTCTCATTTCAATATGGATATATATAACATTCCATTTTACTCAATGAGCATGTTCCTACAAGGCACTAAGCTAAGTACTAAGAAGAGAACAACAGTCAAATAAAACATGGTTCCTATTGCCAAGGAACTCAGAATCTAATGTGGGGGGAACACACACATAACCAACCAGAAGGCAACAGAGAACCAGTTTCCTGCTCTAGTAAAGACGTAAACAAGGCGCACAGAGAGATTAACCTCATCTGGGAGGTGAGGGGGTCATTGAAGAGGTGGTATTTCTCAGAACTGGAGAGTCCATAAGATTACAGTACCTCTCCTCTTTTCCAATTATACTCAACTCAGTTTTTCTCTACATTTACATAAAACAGGTAAATTTGATGGATGTCCTTTCTCTTGCTGCTTAACTCGTATCTCTAAATATAACATGATCTCTTTTGTATAAGAAATCAACTGGTATTAGGTATACTTTTTAGTATTAAATATATTATCATAAATACTTTTTGATTAAAGTTTTATTTACTCAAGGGTTGTTCTATCATACAAACCACTGAAATACTCCCCAAATTGCAGTAAATTAGCTTACAAACTATATTTTCCCAACTATTTCTTATGCTTGTTGGTGTTGTTGTTATACCTAGATTCCATTTATTGGTTCAGATTTTTTGTTCAGAGAATAAAGTCATCCTAGGACAACCATGAAAAAAGCCAGCCTAGGATTTTAAGTCTCTAATGGAAAGTACACAATAATACAGGAAAAAAACAAACCAACAAAACAATCGTCATCATTTTCTCTGTGTGTAGTTTTGTTTTTATTTGTTTTTCATCTAAAACTGGTCCAGACACAGATGGTAGAGCCGCTACCCTTGTTGGGGAAAAGGAAGCATGATCTCTAAGAACTTAACCCTAGAGGATTAAACATTGTTTCTCCACTTAACACACTTCACAGGCTTTCAACACACTTGGCTAATAGAGTGCACACTTTACAGTCAAAGAGACCTGCATTTGAATCTGGGCTCCGCCACTTCCTACCTGATCACCTTCAGCGATCACTTCACATCTCTGAACTTCAGTTTCCTCACGGGTATAATTTTTCTACCTTACAGACTCATCGTGAAGACTGGCCAATCTAGATAAAACATCTAGTACACTGCCTAGCACAGAGCAGGCCATCAATACGTGATAGCTAGAATAATCAATACTATTGCTATGAACCCTAACTCTGGAAGCTAGTGGGGCAGGCACAGGTACATCAAGCTACTTGTACCCTTGCTACTTTTGGGGGACCCAGAAAGCATGTTCTTTGCCAAGCTTAAGAACAATCAGAATATAGGACTGCAAGATTATGACATTTCTCACAAGTCCAGCTCAGGGGATGAGAACATAGGCTCTGGAGTCTATTCCACTGTACCACTTACTAGCTGCGAGACTTTGAGCAAATTGCTTAGAGGAGATGTCCTTTTCCTCAACTGTAAAACACAGCTAATAACAGTCCTTCCAAGTACTTCAAGGGGATCTTGTGAAGGTTAAATTAAATGAGCTAATCCATGGAATGCTCTTAGCACAGCATCTGGCAACAGTAAGTGCTCCAAATGTTAGCTATTAGACTGCCCATGAACTCCCTGGCACCCCCAAGGAGTTACTGCAAGGGGGCTGAATAGACCATGCAACACTAATACGTATTCCAGATATATGTACTATTTTTCAGTGGTATAAAAATTCCACTGTGATTAATAAAATACTAATTATTTTAAGAGTCTCACTCATAGTAGCTTTTAAAAATAAGTAATGGTTATTGAAAAATAGTCAAACAACAGAGGAATATGTAAAGTAAAAAGTGTGCTCATTCAGTCAGCTGCCAACCACCACCTTCCCCCACAACCTCCAAATTCACTTTCCAGAGGAAACTGCTGGAAAGCGCTACAGTGGGTACTCTTCAGATCCTTGTCTCTCAGTATACACATGAAGCTGGGGGCGGGGGGAGAGTGTTAGATTTTTTTACAAAATGGGATCTTATCATACATATTTCTTTATTCAACAATATATTGTGGATATCTTTCTATGTCATTGCATGACATGCTAACTCATTCTTTCCAGCTGCTGCTTAATGCTTCAGATGATGGATAAATTACAATTATTAATACATTATTCTAGGCATTTAGCGTATCTTTAATTTTTTGCTATTAAAAATAATTCCACAATGAACACCTCGTTTGAAGGGCATTCAACACGTGTGGGTATTTCTGCTGGATAGCTTCCTACATGTGGACTGGCTGAGTCAAAGGTATTGCACATTTTACATTTTGATAAGCACTGTTAAGCTGTCCTCTAAAGAGGATGTACGCATTGTACTCTTCTGTCGTTATGTATTTTTTTTAATAAACAGGAACAAAAAAGTATACTATCATGGGAGAAACTACAAATTTTTCTGCACTGATAAGTGGCCTTCATCTTCAAAACAAGGTGGCAACCATGGCGCCAAGCCCTTACTTTATACTTCGCAGGCCCAGGGCTACTGACTAAACTCTCAGCTTAATATTATTCAGACCCTGATCTCTCCTGCAACAACTGAGTTCATATCAAAAGCAGTTTTCTAGTACACGCTTACACCGCCCCCAGGTCAATGGGGAGGAATGGGGGCACTCAAGACCCAAAGTGTTGCTGTCATTATCTAGCAGTCCTGTCAACCCCCACTAAAACAGACTTATCCATGCAATGTTTGCTCCAATGCTCTACTTCATTGTGATGTTTTAACGTAGAAATGGATTAAAACCTCTTAAACAATAATCATTGGCCCACAGGTAGTTTATATGTTTCATTTTTGTTACAGCAATATTATTACTGTGAGGAGCAAGAGCGGATAAAGGTCATGTTGGTAATTAAAGCTATATTGTAGAAACATGCACACCCAAGATATGATTAAATAAGAAAATATTACTCAGTTCAGTATCATCATTAAACTTGCATTAATTTATAAATATTTAAATGAACCACATGATGATCATAAATAATCTGTTTTCGTCAGTTTCTATAGTAATGCAACCCATAAACCCTTTGAAAAATTACTGCAGAAAGAAATCGTCAACAAAGAAAGTAGACAAGGCAGACTTACATTCAAATGCTGTGGTTGTTGCTTCAGGCAGAACCTGGCCTATCACATCCTAAACAAAGAAAGAATAAAGAAACACAATTAGCCATCTTCTTTATTGCTAACATGTGGCAAATCCTGCAGGAAATATGAGAACCTGGAAAAGATTTTTGAAATGTTGGCATAAACTATAAAAACATTAGCTCATAATCAATGTAAGCCCAGAGTTTATATCTCTATTCTGCAGGGGAAATCTTCATGAAATCTTTTCTACTCTGTATTAATAACATAATCTTTCATTCTCAATTCAACACTTACATAAATACACTACCATGCATTTCTTCTAAGGGAAGCTGTGGGATGTAATGCGGTGGAAAGAGTAAGGGGTTTGAGAGTCAGACTGGCCTGGGTTCGAAGTCCAGCTCTGTACTTACTAGCTGCGTGACTTGGAACAAATTACTTAACCTCTCTGAGCCTCAATTTGATTATGCTCCAAAATGTAGTGGCAGGAGTTTAAAACAGAAGTTTCCATCACAGTCATAGAAACCTATAATGCTACATTTAATACAAACATTTCTTACCAATCTTTACTATTAAGCAGCTGAAAAACATTTAATGACACTGAAATAAAGTCAATCTAATCTGCAAAAAAAAAAAAACTAAGAAGTGTACATAATCTTATACAACATTTAACTGAACCTATAAAGTTGAAAACACTTCAAAATTTGTCTACAGAGGTAGTTTAAGAGGCACAGAGGACCTAAGAGAAGTGGTCAGTTCTGAAGAAAGTGCCCCCGACTCCAGTATGTCCAATCCAACCTGAACGGCCTGCAAACCTCACTTCTCTCAGGGGAGCTCTGTCACAATGTCCCTCCGGGCTGAGCCAGAACTGGCACCAGCCAGCCGGCTGACAAAGCCGCGGCAGTACTTGTCAGCAGGAAGCCCACAGCCCTTCCAAGCAGGGCACTTAGAGTGGCGGCTGCAACTCCATTCTAAAGGCAGTTCTTCAGAAGCTTTTGCTGCAATGGCAATTTGCATAATAGCCTTGCCTCTACAGTGCTTTTTTCTTTTTTTTAATAAATCTGTGTATATAAAATTGATCAAAGAGAACTATCTTAGGCAGCCCTTGCTCATTATAGCCAAAAGAGGTTATTTTCTTCTTCTGACTCCAGTCTTAACAAATGAAACATCAACTTTTTGAGGAAGTATTTGTAAAACACTTCGGTGTCAAAAAAAATTCTTTCTACACACTCATAGGTAAAAAATATTTATTGACAGGTGAATGGAAACCGTGGAGCGGTACAAAAGAGGCTATACAGCAAGTACAGTGCAAAGTCTGGGAGCATGCGCTCTGGAGCCAAAATGCTAGGGATGGACCTTGGCTCTGCCACTCACCAGCTGAACGACTGATCCTCTGTGCCTCAGTTTCTTTGTGTATAAAACGGGATCATAGCTGTACTTCCCTGTAGAACTACATGAGTTAATATTTGTAACATGCTTAGGAGACTGTATAGCACATGGTTTAAGTGTCTGTTAAATAAACAAATCACTGATCACTGGAATATCACAAAGCTCACCCCACAGTGAAATCTTAAATTCCAGTACACAATCAGTGTCAGTGGACAATGGCCATTCATTCAGTTACTTCATCTTTCCCACAGCATTTACTAAGGACCCTTTCTAGCCAGGATAGATAAAAGACGAAGGAAAAACAAAGAGAAACAATAACCTTTCCACCCTCAACCGTACAAGTCTCAAGTCTCACGTTACAGAGAAAGCCTATCACTCAGAAAATCAATCCTGAGGAAGCGAACTCTACCTCTACAGTACTAGGCAACAAAATGAGGATCCTTCCTACTTACGAAAAGCAGACTCCCTCAAACAGCAAATTTCTAATAATCAGCCGAAAACCCCACCAGGCAGCAATAACATCCTTCGCCCATCAACATAAACAAGGTATTTTACATCTAATACGGAGAAAAGAAAAAGCAGACTTGCTTGAAAGACGTATATGCATAAACCATCCACCTTGTTTCTTAAAAGCAAATAAACTGGTGGTGTCACAATGACCTCGGAAGAAAGGCCTCGCGATCTACTTCTGAAAAATCAGCCGTTGAAAACCCTATGGAGCACAGTTCTACTACGACATACATGGCGTCACCATGAGCCGTAATCAATTCAACGGCAACTGGTTATCATAATGATAAAGGGGTAAAAATTTTGAAAATTAGTATCTACTCATCATTTTTAAGCAATATATATTTAATGATCTTAGGTTCATTTTCCAGTTAATATCTCTTATATTTTAAACGACTTGTTTCAAAGTGAACATGTCCCACTCTCAAGGACATAACATTTTAACTAACCTAAAGAAGGTTTCAAAAGAAAACCTAAATTTACATATCTTGATGGTGATCATTCTTTGGTCTTTTTTTCCCTCCTTCCATTCACTAAATTAAGTCAAATATCTGACAGACCAAAATATTAAAATGTTGGTCAAAAAATAAAATTCAGCATTTACAACGAGCCGGGAACATAAGGATCTGAAAGCTATAGGCTGTACAACTATAAAACTTGGTCCTTAGCCTTAAAAATCCATTGCCATTGAGTCGACTCCAACTCATAGTGACCCTACAAGACAGCGTAGAACTGCCCCATAGAGTTTCCAAGCAGCACCTGATGGATTTGAACTGCTGACCTTTTGGTTAGCACCCATAGCACTTAACCACTACACCACCAGGGTTTCCTTCCTTGCCCTTAGAAAATTACAATCTGTTCACAGAGATGGTGAGATTATATAGTCTGTTCACACAGATACCTAAAAGACAAATAGCGATACAAAGCACTGATAATTCCAGAGCCAAACAGAAGACATAAACAGCAAATAGTATTTACTAGCTCAAAAGGAAGGAAAAATCAGGTTAGATTTTAGTTTGGACAGGAATTCCACAGGTAAAGCGGAATCTGAGCGGGGCCTTAGAGACAGGATTCAAAAAACAGAAAGGAGAGAGGAGAACATTCTCTCCCACCACATACTAATACAGAGCTCCTGCACAACTTTCCAGAACTGGGGACTCGGCCTCCAAGGAAGAGAAGACATACAGAAAGCTGAAAAACAGATACAGCAGACAACCCAAATGTCCTGCTAGGCCTACTTAACATTCTGGCCAAAAATCAAACAAAACAGTTATTGTCAACTCAGTTCTCATTCATGGTGACCCCATGTGTGTCAGAACAGAACTGCTCCAAGGGTTTTCAATGGCTGGTTTTTCAGAAGCAGATCGCCAGGCCTTTCTTCTGAGGCACCTCTGGATGGACTTGAACCTCCAACCTTTTGGTTAGCAGCCGAACGCTTAACTATTTGCATCACCAAGGGACTCCTAACTTTCCAGCAAGTCCCTAATTATTCGGATGAAGGAAAAGAAGGCCCAGAGAGGCCAAGTGACTTGCCCAGGATCTCAAAGCCATTCAACAAAGCTGTGCCTGGAGCCTCAACCACTGACCCCGGGTCCAAAACACTTTCAGTCACAGTTAATGTAATGACCACAAACTGCTTTTGGCTTCTGTGTCAGGTTCTGCCAAAAACTACTAGTTGTGTGGCCTCAGCAAGGCATTTCCCTCCCCTGGGCTTCAGGAACCCTCATTTGAAAACGGGGGTGAGGAGAATCACAAAAGCGTACATTAGATGAAGGGAATGCTTCCAGGTGTATTCAGCTCTAAACTCTAAGGTCTAAGCCAAACATGCTGACGGACCTGTTGCTTTCCACCTATTTCTTGGAGAAGTGATTAGGTGAGCCTGGAGAACAGATCCCAGAGTCCTCCAGGAGCTGGGCTGCTACAGGTGGCACTGGGAGTCTACGTAGCACTCCCTGCCACAAGAGCTTCCTCAGGCTTTCCTGACAAAACACATTCCACCTGTGCTTACCAGAGCAATTAACAAATGCAGACACAGGGCTCTAGACAGTGAGTCATTTGTGCGATGTTTCCTTTCAGGCCAATCAGCCTGGAGCCAGGCACAGGCAGGAGCAGAAGATCCAGGCCCTATCCCTTACTGTTGTAATAATAACAACAATAACGGCGACACTTAAAGAGCATTTACAATGAACCAGATTGTTCTAAGTGCTTTACATGTATCAACTCAACCAGTCCTTACAACTCTCAGAGGTGGGTACTATTTTTATCTGCCCTCTCCCCTTTTTAACAGATAAAGAAAACAAGACACATAAGACACCTGCCCAATTGAATGGGGGAACTGCCACTTGAGATTTGAACCCAGGAAGTCTAGCTCCAAGGAGTCCTGGTGGCCCTGGTTAAGCGCTAGGCTGCGAACCGAAAGGTCAGCAGCTTTTATCCAACAGTGGCTCTGTGGGAGAAAAGACCTGGCGATCTGCTCCTGTAAAGATTCCAAAAACCAAACCAAACCCCTTGCCGTCGAGTCAATTTCAACTCATAGCGACTCTACAGGACAGGGTAGAATTGCCCCATAGGGTTTCCAAGGAGCAGCTCATGGATTCGAACTGCTGACCCTTTGGTTAGCAGCTAAATGCTTAACCCCTATGCCAGCAGGGCCCCCTGGTAAAGATTACAGCCTAGGAAACGGAGCAGTTCTGCTGTCACAGAGTCCCTGTGAGTCGGAACTGACTCACCGGCACACAGCAACAACAGTCTAGCTCCAGTTCGCGCTCGTAAACGCTGTGCTATTCGACTTATATACCTTGTTGTTCAAGATGAGTAAAGTGAAAGAAAGTGCATGTCTTTCTTCTCATCACAGATGCAATCTCATTTAATCTTCACAAGTTTTTGAGGCAAGCATCATCCCCCATTTTACAAATAAGGAAACGGAGGTGCAAAAAAGATAGTGACAGCTTGCAATTAAACCCAAATTTGTTGATTCAAAATCCAGTGCTCTTTCCACAGCACCATAACTGCATGCACCCGCTTTTGAGCTCCCTCATTAAACAAAGGTTTTAGAGTCCTCTGAAGCACCAGAAACAGAGTGGAAACACACATGTCCATCTCCTCCAGAAGTTCACCACCTAATGGAGAAGACAGACAAATAACCATGACACAACATGTCTGCTTTGACGGGGTACACACACAAAGCTGTGGGAACACAGAGGAGAGCCACATAACCAAGACTAACGAGGAAAAGCACAGCTGGGCTTTGAAGGACAGGTGGGAGCTGGCCAGCTGACAAAAGGGGCAGAGTGAAGACAGCCTGGGCCCCTCGGAGAATGGAAAGTGATTCCACACACCTGGAGTACAGGATGCTCAGGCGTGCAGTGACAGATAAAGCTGGTACCAGGTAGGCAAAAGCCAATCAAGACTTGCCCAGAGGACCACGCTAGGTAGTCTGGGCCTTATCAAGTAGGGAAATCTATGTGCATGTGAGTGTGTGGAGAACTCTGAGAGCAAAGAGAAGGATGGCATTTGGTGCACAATATTGAGGCTGCTGTGTCACTATTGTCCCAGCACTCCTCACCCAGGCACCTGAAAACCTGCATGGTCTGGGTGTTAGTAACATCCAGAACTCAAAATGAAGTTACAGGAATCAAATTTTGGTTGAGTCACTCATGAAGATCAAAAATTGCATCACATATCTTCCTCCACCCAAAAACCTGCCACCCAGCCCCATCTTACCTAGCGGATAAGTTCTACTATAGATCTGCCTCTTGGTATGCCAGCCTTTGATGCCCTTCTGCCTTTGATGCCTCAGTTATTCAATATATAAAATGGGCACAAAGCATCCTATCTCAAATGAATGTTAGAAAGATGAGAAGTGGAACAGCAGCACATGGGGAAAAAAACACTAAGTAAGGAAATGTGAGTTCTAGTACTGACTCTCCCAATGGTGAGTTCTAGTACTGACTCTCCCAATCGTGAGCCACACAACTTTGGAAAGTAAAAGCCCTGGTGGCACAGTGGTTAAGAGGTCAGCTGCTAACCAAAAGGTTAGCAGCTCCAGTTCACCAGCCACTCCTTAGAAACCCTATGGGGCTGTTCTACCCTGTCCTATAGGGCTGCTCTAAGTCAGGATCGACTTGACGGCAACAGGTTTGGATTTTGGGGTTTTTTTTTTTTTTTTTTTTTTTGGTTGGTTCCTCAGTAACTATCTGTAAAAGATTAAATGCGCAAACTTTTTCCTGCCTTTTGTAGCCCTGGCTACCTCCAACGGTACGCTCTGCTTTAACATTCCAGGATTTTATTTGAAATTCATTCCAAGTATCTGATTCTAAGATGCACATTTTCCCCTCTTTTAACATCTCTGAAACTGGGCTTTTTTTTCTTTCAACATCTCTGAAATTGGGCTTTTTTTCCCTTTACAATGGATGGCGTGTTGCAGTTTAAAGGGCGGCACTATTTTTTCTTAGTGATACATACAACAATGGCATGTCCTACAATCAACAATGTCTTAGGTTTGCTGAAACATGGTAAGTTAAAGCCGCCCTTGCTTCCGTTTCCCTTTCCCCACTGGTCACCAAGTTCAGCAGAGCCCTGGGGGCGCAGAGGTTAAACCGCTCAGCTGCTAACTGAAAGGCTGGCAGTTTGAACCCATCAACCACTCTGTAGGAGAAAGTTCACAGAGAACTCAGTAGAAAGGCATGGCTGGAATTAGGCCAGAGACATTCCCCCAAACACTTGGAAAAAGGCCTCTCTTCTAGACTCAGCTTTCTGTATCCCAGTTGGCTGCTTCTATGTGTGGGTCCCAGTCCTGTCTGGGAGTTCCTTGAGGGCAGGGGTTTGGTCGCATTCACCTCTGTTTCCCCAGAGCCCCGCACATTTACTAGATCTGGGGTGATGAAATTAATCAATGCTTGTGGTTAAAGCAGTAAAAATGGCCCATCCAGGGGAAGACTCAGCGATTAAGGTGCGGACCCCTCCTCAATTCCCGGAGCACCCCGCCCCTCGCTGAGGTTTGGACACTCACCAGCACATCCCTGAAGAGCAACTGCGGCCCGGAGTGCACCGTCCAGTCCACCGCACCACTGTTTGGGATCTTGATGCGAATGACCAGCACCTGGTTCTCCATGGCGTGGAAGGGGCCAAGGGGCAGCCACAGCATTACAGATCAAAGGGGCTCACATCCTGGGGTACGGGGTACCCACTGGCCCCTGGTTTAGGTGGGGGCTCAAAGAGGAGACAAGGGGGGTGAGGGGAAGAGGGCAGAGGGTTGAAAGAGAGGTCTGGAGGGTGAGGTGGGAGTGAAGAGAGGACGGTGGCCTGGAAGGGCCCGCAGGCACGGAACCAGGCTCTGTGAGGGGTGAGGGCTGTCTCTCTGTGAGGGTGGACAGGGGAGGGGGCAGGGGACAGTAGGAACTAGCGGAAGTCTGAAGGTTCTGGAGTTGGAGAGGGAGGCAAGACGGGATCGTGAATGCTCTCTGCTGTCTCTGTGGGTGTGAGGAGTCGGCGGAGCGGGGACCCCGTTTTGGGGAAATATAGCGGCAGGTGTCCACCCCTCCTTAGAAGATGAGGGGAGAGTCCCCAGCTGGAGTGGACTGAGTCTGGGGCTGTTAGGAGGGAGCCGCCAGACCACGGAAAGCCCAGGGGACCGTCCGCCGGAGAGTCAGGCCAGTCCTCTGCCCCACCCCCGGCCAGAGGGCGCGGCGCGCGCGGGCTCAGCCCGGGCCGCTCCAGGCCGAGCGTCCGGCGGCGGCGGCGGGAGGAATAGGAAACCGACAACCAACACACTGTTACTCCGGAACCAAAACGCGCGGCGCCGGAACCCCGGGAGCCGAGAGCCGGCCCGCCTCCCGCGGCGCCATGTTGGAAAAGGGCAGCTCCAGCTCGGACCCGCCCCCGCGCCACGGGCGGGCGGCCACTAGGAGTGAGCGACCGGCCAAGGGAGCCCAGCCTTGAATGAGGGGAGGGTGGCGTCCTGCCCACTCAAGAGACCCGTGTTGCCAAGCGACTGCCCGCGGCGACAGTGTAGCGGCCCCTTCTTTTCCGACCCTGATTAAAGTCAGCGAGGTGAAAATCTAACAAACGAAGGGGGTAACTAAGGCTAGAGTCCCTACTCTGTCAAGCTGTGCACCTAAATATTTGTAGGGGATTGTGTATCACATCACTGAGAGAAAAGCAAAAACTCAAAAAACAATTCTTTTTTTTTTTTTCTCTCTTTGTCTCTCCAAGCCGCAAGTCCAGAGAATCATTTTTTTCCAACATTAGCCAAGCCTATATGGATTTTTTTAGTGAGGTTCTTTTCCCCCACGATTGCCCTGGAACAGCAGACAGCCCCCTATTCAGAAGCAACGGTAAAGAAATTTAGTGAAGAGTGAAGAAATTCAGTGAAGACATCTGTGGTAGTAGCATCATTTTCTCTTATTAAAATGTTGCAAAAATATTCGGTCTAATCGATAGATTTTCAACTAGTTGCAATGTTTATGTAGTGCAGAGCAATAACCCTTGGTTATTTGTGAATGCCTTGTTATCTCACATTTTAAAGTGCATTATCTTGTTGATCTATGGTGCCCTAAGAAGTTTGCTTACAAATTGCAACGTGTAGGGTTGCCCTTTAACTCTTTTTGATGAAAGTGCACTTGTTGGCTTTATTTTTTGGATTGTATTTTGTATAAACTCAGTGGGGAGGGGTGTTAATTTCTCCTTTAACAGTCAGATAGTTGATTAAATTAGAGAAAAATAATTAAGATGTTGGTCAAGTTCAGTGTGATACCCAGAAATTTTTCTGCATATTTTTCTCTGCCTGAGCTGCTTTTATATTTAATTTGAAAGGCCATTGTAAGAGACAAATTATCTCTTTTCAGTTCTTGTAATTGAATAGCTTAGGTAGAAATTCATTTAGTCAGATCCTCCAGATATTGTGGGACTTGCCCCTTTCCACCTGTGCTTCAATCCTGTGAAAAATAAAACTTTTTGCCCAAGGTCCCCATGTATTTTTTATTGAAGGTTCATTTTCTATTCTTTGAGAAATTAAACCACAAAACTAGAGCTTTCCTATGAACCTATGATTTGTTAAAATGTCTTTTTTATTCATAGTACTGTGGGGAAAACCAACTCAATTTGCCAAATTTGCATACATATTCTGAAGCTTTTCTTAGACTGATGGCAATCTCTTAGCGCTTTCCCAATATTTGCAGAGCCAGATGTAATCACACTTCAGTTCTTCATAGCGTTTTTATAGCAAGAAGTCTTAATCTTGATGGTTTTAGCAAAAATGTTCCAGAACTAGAACTGTCATTGCAAGAAGCATCATAGTCACAGATAATACAAGACCATTCCATTGGGATCAAAAATGATAAAATATCACTTTCTGATCTTACCAAATAAACAAGCTCTATTATCTGAATTTGGAGCCCTGCTAGCACAGTGGTTAAGAGCTTGACTGCTAACCAAAAGGTCAGCAGTTCAAATCCACCAACTGCTCCTTGGAAACCCTATGGGGCAGTTCTGCTCCGTCCTATAGGGTCACTATGAGTTGAAATCGACTCAATGGCAACAAGTTTTTTTTTAATTATTGAATTTAAAGTATATTTAATATTTGACGTCAAAGTTCTATGTAACCTTAAAACGTTTACATGCAATGCATATAGTTTTTAATTTTTTTTTTCTTTTTTAAATAATGGGTATGAGTCAGGAAAGTCACTCAAGGACTAGCTGATGTAGTTTGGGAGCCATAAGGCAGATTTACCGTAGTAAAACAACCTGTGCTATCTTGCACTTTTCCTACCTGAGGGACTTCTCAATAGGTGTAGTAGAAAATCCTTCGCCTAGTAAAGTTATATCCTGGTGAAGAAGACAAACATGTGAGTAAAATATATGTTCAAAAAAACCAAACCCATTGCCATCGAGTCGATTCCGACTCATAGCAACCTATAGGACAGAGTAGAACTGCCCCATAGAATTTCCAAGGAGCGACTGGTGGATTTGAACTGCCAACCTTTTGGTTAGCAGCCAAGATCTTAACCACTGCGCCACCAGGGCTTCAAATGCTAGGAGAAAAATGAACCCAGGACGGGAAGATGAAAACAATACAGCACAACAGTGTAATAACACTAAGGAATATGAAAACCGGCCTGTAACGATTCTGTTAACCAGCAAGCTTAACTGAAGAGAGAACTATTTCCGAAAAATTAGATGTAGAGTGATTTTTTTTAATGAGAAAAATTATATTTTACTGTTACAAGTTCAGAGAAAGTTTCTCTGATCTCCTCTTATGGCTTTGCTCTCAGTCTTGAATTTTTCACCCTGAATCTGACCCATTCCCACACCTTCAATGCTACTACTCCAGTCCAAGCTACCATTATATTTCTCTCTTAATCTATTTCCACCCTTGTCCCTACTACCAACAGTCCATTTTCAACCCAGTTGTCAGAGTCAGAGCGGGCCACTGATTTGCTCAAAACTCGCCAGATGGCCTCCTGTTTTGTTCAGGGGAAAAGCCGAAGTTCTTTCCTAGAAAAACTCTACTCATCCTACCCACCCACCACCCACAGCCTCTGAACTCTCCAGCCTCATCTACTACTCTCCCTCATTCACACCAGCCTCCTTCTCACATGTCATGCATTCCATCTCAAGGCCTTTGCAAGTGCCACCTTGCCTGGATCACTCTTACTCAAGATACCCCATGGCTCGCTCCCTCATAGTCGGCAGGTCTTGACTCAGATGTCACCTTCTTGCTGTAGGCCTGTCCTTAGCACACTATCTAAACTTACAAACCTGCCCCACTTCGCCTCACCCATAGATACATGCACATACGTGTGCACAATTCCTAATCCCCTTCCTTAGTTTGTTTTTCTCCTAGCACTTGTCAGTATCTAACATACTATATGTTTTATTAATTTGTTTATCTGTCTCCCCATTAGACTATAACTTCATGAAGGGAGGAAATTGTATGTGTTTTATTCACTCCCATATCCCCAGTACCTACAGTAGTTGCTGGTGCATAGTGGGCCCTTTAATAGTGTTTATTGAATGAATGAATGAATTTGAAGGCAAAGTAGACTGAGTGATAGGAATGCAACTTCCACATGCATCTACTGCCTGTCTTGAGCCTCACTTGCTCGTTTCCATTTCCTTGAGTTTGGTAATAATGAGAGAGGCTCCAGAGAAGAGACACCACCACCAAGATTGAGACAATGACAATTATAGGTTTCCATTAAACAGCAAATTTTAAAACAAATACTAATTGCCTCATATGCTCAAGAATTCCATGTGTCTCCTTCAGTGCCTAGTGTGGGCATTTGCATGTAATACTTAAATACCCATTGATTAATTTTGATCTTAAAAAAATATGAAGATCATGAGCAAGACAAGAATGCCCACTTTTATCACTGCCATTCAACATTGTACTGGGAGTTGTAGCCAGAGCAATTAGACAAGAAAAAGAAATAAAAGGCATCCAAATCGGAAAGGAAGAAGGAAAACTATCTCTATTTGTAGATAACACGATACTATCTATGGAAAATCCCAAAGAATCCACGAGAAAACTACTAGAGTAGTACACTAATTCAGCAGTTGCAGGGTACAAGATCAACACACAAAAATACCTTGTGTTTCTATACATGAACAGTGAACAATTCAAAAAGAAAATTAATAAAGTCCATTTACAATAGTATCTAAAGGAATAAGATACCTAGGAATAAATTTAACCAAGGAGATGAAAGACTTGAACACTGAAAACTACAAAACATTGCTGAAAGAAATCTAAAAAGACCTAAATAAATGAAAAAATATCTATATTCATGGGCTGGAAGACTTATTGTTAAGATAGCAGTACTACCCAAAATGATCTACAGATTTAACACAATCTCTATCAAAATTCCAACGGCCATTTTTGCAGAAATTGAAAAATTCATCCTCAAATTCATATGAAATTGCACCAGGTCCCGTATAGCCAACCAAACCCACTGACATCGAGTTGATTCGAACTCATAGCGACCCTGTAGGACATAGTAGAACTGCCCATAGGGTTTTCAAGGCTGTAATCTTTACAGAAGCAGATTGCCACATCTTTCTCCTGCAGAGTGGCTGGTTGGTTCGAACCACAGACCTTTCAGCTAGCAGCCAAATGCTTAACCACTTAACCACTGCACGACCAGGGCTTTTTCCATATAGC